ACTGCAGTTGCTTATTTATATCACTTCTTATAATCCATAGCTTATTTACGCATTTATTTCATTGTGTATGTAATCGACTGCCCTGTCGTCTTTGCTGGGTCTTCACCCCTCGGTGCTCTACCACATTTCCTGTATAATGTCGTCAGTACGTTCTCATCTCATCTCACCATGTCCGCATATTCTGCGTGCGAATACATTATGTTTTGCTTGATATTTTCAAAATGAACATATTTTTGCATTCTGTAGTAATAGCAGTAATTTTACCAATAGAACAGTAATTGCTGTCAATCACCATCACGTACAATTGGTCTGTGCGTATCAGATGTTGTGAAGGTCACGAGTAGGTACGTATGTTTCGTTACTTGACGGTTGCGGTAAGGAAGGGTAATAAGATAACGCGGCCGTCAACCTAGCAATCATTGACGACTCATTTGCCGAGGAGTTTTGTACATAGTTTTTACACCCTTTACGTTGTTCACGAAATGCACTCTCTAGGATGTTATCTTTCAAATATTTCGGAATACTGATCTGACAAACTGTATTACTTTTTAAGATAGACTCTTTAATTGCTTGTACATAGGTATGTATACGTATATCATGCTAGTGACGACCTCATAATCTAATATAGAGATGTTCTATTACATGCAATCATGACAGCATCATATATATTGAAAGACACGACGTGGTATAGGAAATGTTGTACAAATGCCTTCAGCTATCTTTCCATATGCATATTAATAAAGTAATATAAGTCTGATAAATGTAATTTAAAGCTTTTGAGGGTGAACGTTTTGCCTTATCTGTACATCGACTTACTTTGACTATTTACCAGTCACCTCTTAATATTAGGGATTTTTTTTTCTGGAAAAACACCTACCAAATCCTAACCTAACCCTTTTGTATTATACTCCATATACGTGTGTGTAAGTCTCTGTTGCTTTCGGTCAACAGATCAAACCGTTTTATCGATTTTAGCATGAAGCGGTCGCACAGAACGGTATAAGTGTGTCATAATTTATAATAAAGGGGTCACTGTTGTCGAATCTTAATTGGTATTAAAAGTGAGTTTCATCACCAACAGGATGTGATTTATTTGACAATTCAATTGAGTTAATTCAAACTGCCATTGATGTTTAATTCATTGGGAATTATTCATAAAATCATTTGGATGTGTATACTAATCAGTCTTTTATTCTGATCATAATTTAGCATACGGAATTCGATTCCGGTTTATTTGATTTTCTTGGATAATTCAGGCAAATCGTTGGATCAGTAATATATTTAACAGATGATAATTCATCTCTCCTCGATTACTACACCCATTTCCACAATTCCGAAAAAGGAGGTTGAGGACAGACTCCACTCTACCTTCCGGCTTTGTACTACGATATAGTTCGGTAGAATTGCCTGTCCACAAGTATCAGCAACTAGCGGAAATGAATCTTGTAAACAAGGGGCTTGATATAAGCAGGTATACCAAATACTCGTCGGCGGGCAATCCCTTTGGATTATGCCAGAGGAATGAGGAGGTAGTAGTTTGGGCAGAGAAAGAAGAGACAGGCAAAATAATAGCAATAGAGAAGTGAAAGGTTATCTGTAAGGCATTATTACTGCCCCAGCATTTGCCTAAGCAATCAAATTGTGGCAAATGGATCTGGAATCAAATCGATGTCTTCCCGAATGTTAAGTAGTATTCTAAACCAGTAGACCATGTCGCTCGTCACCAAACTAAATCTACTCGCAGTTTATATACCTACGAGGCAGAATAAATTCTTAACGACAAATTTAAGATAGTTTTATATAGATAGTAGTATTATAGTAGCTCTTTTCTGGATAACTTTGGGCAACTTGTTATATTCGTGTGTATAAATTAAAGATATGATGATATGAAAGTAGTCCAATATTTTATAGATATTAATTCATCATTTGAGAGCCATGCTTTTGTCAATGTAGCTTCCTCCATCACTCTTCCCGGTTTTTGGTTAATTGTTTAAGGACCTGGTAAGATGTTGCTCCTGCATTTTGTTCATATATCATTTGATATACACCGCTTTTACAAAATAATCATGTTTTAGTAAGTGGTCTGTCATGCTTCCTCTTCTATTTTTCTGCAATGAGATGCCTTTCTTTCCCGCACCAGTTTCAGGTCATCCTAATTGGTGATCCTCTCAGTCCAGATAATCTTCTCCATCCTCCTCTAACACCACATTTTAAAAGTATCCAATCCATTACGCTTTCTTTGCGTCATGGCTCATGATTGTGCGACACTGCATAGAAAGTATTTTTATTAGGTACTTTTTCCATTCTGGATTTGAAAATGCACCCTCTGCCTACCCCTTCTTGTTTTGAGATTGCAACTCTAAAATAACGTCTGTGCTGTGGTGCATTTGAACTTCTCCACCTGTTCTACTACAGAATTGGTTATTCGTATTGTGTCGATTTTAAGATTATCATTTGAAGCTACTAGAATCTTCGTTTTAATTGCTATCATCAATTTTTAAAAGATACGAACGGTTGTTTTAATATCATTAATCATCATAATAAGGTCGTCAGTCCTAAGAATGGTTGGACACGCACCTCCACTTTTTCCTATTTTGAGCTAATCTTCGCATTTCCCGAAAACTAGAACAACCCACATTCTTAACTATTTGCGAATAGTAATCTAATCTAGGCCTACTTCTACCCCTCTTAACTCCCGTTTCTGCCTCTAATATGTGTCTGACTAGACCTCCATGCCTTAAAAGGTGTCTTAGTAACCTTTCTCGCCTATTCCATATTGATTTCCACATATTCCTATTCTTTCTAATACCTATAATATCATTAATAGTACTATAACGAGCGTGTTTGTGTGCGATCTGGCATACGTGTGTGTGAGCGAATTATCGATTTGCCGGCTAGCCGCGGGCGCCTTTCTTCATGTGCGCCGTATTTGTAAACGTGCGTGTCGTACCTGCGTTCTGGGAAAGCAGTTAAACAGTTTAAAGAAAAAGAAACTAATCCGAACGTTTCGAGAAGGTTCCCGAAAGGAAACAAAAGATTATTTAAAGGAAGAGACGATCGCCGAGAGTAGAGTAGAAATAAATTGACCGTTGCAGAAGTGTAGTAAGTTTAGTAATAATTTAATAGTGTTTTTAAGTTCTTCAATAATTAGTATAAATAAATAGTTTTTGTCGTTATCAGTATTAGAAGTTAATTTTGTTAAACCCACGAACATTATAATACGATTATTAAATTAAATATTAATAAACATAAAAAAAAACTCGGACATGAATCGTACCCAAAAGCAGTCTCGATCAAGTCACCTTTCAAACAAAAAAATAATTAAATTGAAATCGTTTCATTTGTTTAAAGATAATATTACATTTAATTTATTATGCTTTTTCTTTATATTTTGGGCACTCTGTATTCTGTTTATTCTAAAGTTTCTTGTTGACGTCACAAACGTTTCGACAAAGGCTTTAGGGGATGACAGTTATATATTTGGGCAGGTTTGTGCTGTATTTGTCTCATGCCTCACACATACGTGGATTAATGAACCTTTCCGCCACTTTAATGGGAATATATTGGCATTGAATCGATTTAATTTGCTCATCCAGCTATTCGAAGAAAAACAAACACAACCCCGACAATTCCACATCGACATTACCATGGTAATCGATATAGGCACACATACACCTACATTTACCTACATGTACGCACGTATATTACAATAGACATATCCAAATTCAATTACAATCCTTTGACTTCTGTAACTCAAATATGCAACGCATTTTAAATTAAAAATACCTGACCGTACATCTGCATATTGTATGTTTTTCTTTTTATTTTGCTTGTTGTGTAGTCTTTTGAAGCGTTCACAATTTCCCCATGCCTGTTGATTTATCTTAGTTTTCTAAATAAATCGACTGGATACATGTTTTACTCAGAAGTGAGACATTATTTGTAGCATGGACCAACTCGACCTTTCCCTTATAAATCAATATTACAATAGGAAACAATATAATAAAAACAAATAGGTTCTTGGATTAGCAATAAATCAAAATCACTAGAAGTGAATAGCAATCCCAAACTTATTTTGTTCCCACCAGCACACCACAAACAGTTTCTATAAATTATCGATCAAACACAAGTAGCTCCATTCAAGCAAGATCATTAATATCAAGTAACTGGCAGCATAACGCCATCTGTAGCTATTTACTACTAACTTGACATGAAGTATATCTGCTAGGTACCATGGTACATTTTGTAGTAGGCACTTTTAAAAGGCCTTTTCGACGCAGATAGCAATAAGTATGTATAGATGGCGCTATACTGTCCGTTACTTAAGAAAACCAATGTCTCTTCCAATACGCGGTTAAAATAAAAACATAAAACTTTTTTAGTATTTCGAGCAGACTTATTTTAATAAACTCTTTATGTGAAGGCAGTCTATTGTCTAGAAAACTTCATTATTATTGGAAAAACTGATAGAGTTAACCTCTACTACATGAAAGTAGATCATAATGATATTTGATAAAGAAAGCACTTTTTGAAAACTTTCACTTAATTTTTATTAAATTCTTAACAAATTTCGACCTACAAGGCCATCTTCAGAAGAAGGATTATCATTAAGAATTTAACAAAAATTAAGTGAATGTTTTCGAAAAGTGTTCTCTTTACCAAATATCTTCATTATTATTGTTTTTGTGTCTTGAATCTACTATAAATTCCATCCTTAATGTGTACATACGTGTACAAATGTAAAAATGGAGGATTATCGCGTTATGGGATACGACGGACCGACATTATAAGGGTTCCAGGTTGAATATGGAACCCCAAAAGTACAATAAATTAACTCTCAAGTTTATGTTGAAAGATATACATCAATCCAAGTAAGAGGAAATACATAAAAAAAATTTTTAGTTTTGACAAAAAGGTTGAGATTATCATTCTAACATTTAGACCAAAATAGTATATACTTACTTACTGTGATTAAATTGTAAGGGTTTGTTTTGTTGCAGTTAACGTACCAAGGACCAGCAATAATTTAGGGGATTTGAAAAAGCCTATTGCACTACCGTCAGAATTGCCTGGGCATCCTCCCCTCTGGATAACCATAAGGCAAGACAGATATCACAATGATATCTATGTTAATAATGCCCGTATGGTTCTAAACCAATCAAACGTTAAGGGACGAAACAAAGGAATGTTACAAGTAAGTCAAGGAATTTGTTATAATTATTTTTCTCTATACGATTCTAGTTAAGATTTTTGACGCATGAGAAGTTAAACTGTTCTAAAATTTTTGAAACAATTCACGTCTTTCTTTCTTGGTATAACCACAACCTTATTTTTCCCGTCTCGTAAATGTGACTATCAATCAGTTTAGACAAATGGTTGCCAACCTTTTGATGTGCATACTTTAGCCTGTACCTCATCTCTAAAATATAGTAGAAGAAAAAAACAGAGCTGCATTAAAGATTGTAAAAGATTAATGTTTTGGGAAAACTCAAGGTCGGTAAATATTAAACTTTTTTAACCCTTAATGCAACTCTATTTTTTAACTGTACCTCATCTACACCTCGTACCTTATTATTCTTTATCTCATTAAGAGGTATCCTAATTGATCTACCTCCACATTGTCTTATTATTCTAATAAATTTTCTAACTGATTGTGCTATATATAGATTCCCTAAATATTCTTTCCACTTACCTGCCTTAACCATAAGAAGCATATTTTTATTCTTCAATTCCGTACCAGAATGGTCTAACGGAATAAATTAGGTTAGATTACGATAAGTTGAATTTAGGAATTGAAATGATAGGTCCAAATGCAAAACAAGTAAATATCTTTCTTGTTTATAAAAAATATGTAGATGGACCAGTGTCCTCAATCACTTCATGCATCAGTCAGAAGGGTCTAGTCTAGTGAAATAATTTAGGCTAGATTTCAGTAGGTTAAATTTAGGTGTGGAAACAATACGGCCAAATGCAAAACAAGTAGATATCTTTCATTTTTACACAAAGAATAGAGATGGACCAGTTTCCTCAGTGATCTTATGCATCAATAACCACTGAATTAAATGTGATTTGAGTTTTCTCTAAAATTGAAGCAGTGTACCCTGTTTTTAGTAATTGGGTTTTTCTTTAAACCACTGTAAGATCGAATATGATTTTTTGATATTTAATCATTATAAAATTAATGAAATTATGAAATTTCTGCTAAAAGTAAGATGTAGAAAATTAAAGTAAGTGGAAAATTATATTAAGTATATTTCATAGTTAATGAAAATTTCTCGTTAATTGGATCGTCGAATTGTAACGTCTAAGAGCTGACAAGATAATCGAGGATCAAAGGAAAAGAAATAATTGCTTTTATAGGAAGAAATTCTGGCGACGGCCCTCTCGTTATCGGATTAAGTGTGTGCGATTGGCTATTGTGTTACAAGCGGAGGTTACTACACTCTCTCTTGTTTTTTTGTCATTCTCTCTTCAGTTCAGATCCATTTTGTTAGCTCATTGTGTAAAACCAGAGATGATAAAATGCATTCGCTCGGCTTTACAATTCCAGCTAGACTTTACGCTTTTTACCATTTTACTATAAAACGCACAAGACGACTATTGTTTGTAGTTTGTCATTCATGCATCTTTTCATTCACTGGAAACGAACTGTAAAAAAATAGGTGTAGCATTTTTGGTATATTTCTACTGTGCAATTCAAAAGTTATTTTTAGATAGATAGATTAGAAACTCCATAATTTGAAAATCAAATAATACTCTCCTTCCCCCAGGTCAACAATTAACATTTACTAAGCCTCAATATCTTATTGAACTTTTATTCATTTTACAAAATACGACTTCATTTTGTGATATTGCAACTGTAAATTTCATTCAATTAAACATCGCGACATATAGAAAGATTTTTCAAAAAATTGCTGGATTGGCTAATACTAGACGTGAAGTTTAAATAGAAAAAAATCGTTGTGGAAATTTGTAAAAAAGTCTACAATAATTACACAAGTCAAGGTAGATCAAGGTACTAAGATTTTGAATTGCCGCAGAGCATCTGGATTTACAAATATTCTAACTTCAAATTCCAAAAAATTGGATTTGCGAGCATCACTGCTACCAAGACAGTACTAACCTTTATCTTTTACTGTTAAATTAGAGTCTTAAAACTTAAATACTCATATGTTACCAATTTGCTTTGTTTGGATTTGAGGTTAGGATATTTCGAAATTTTAACATGCTACTGTTTTTCTGGGATCACATGTAAGTGCACTACTCACGAATAAATCGAAGACGCTTACATTCTTCTCTGATTTTCTTTGTTCAACAAAAAGACGAGGAACTCGAAACTCGCTCCAAGAGCTGATGACGGGTTGGAAGTCAAGTCAAGGCAAAGAGAGTCTTCGTTTTCTATCTATTTTTCAAAATGAAGTCAAATTGTTGACCTTTAAATATTGAAATTTCAGGAAATCTTAATCTCAAATCTAAACAAGCCAAATTAGCAACATTTGAATTTTAGAGGTAAAACTTTTCATAACCCTGATTTGCTGGAGTAGTTATGAGGTCAGATTCTAACTCAGTAACGAAAGATACCACAGGCCGAAAACGGCATTTTTTGAGTTTTGAAATTGAAATACCTACAACTCCCGATGTGCTAAGACAATTCTGGGTTATATTTGGGCTTAGCATGGCAAATTACGTCGCGAATGATTGCTCTTTTCTTTTTTCCCTTTCTAATATTTGATTTCGTTTAATCGTTACGTTTCAATTAAAACGGCAGTTATAGGAAATGTTTGCTTCATTTAGTTTCATAACTGGAAACCTTGGACCCATGTCTGTCTTCTTTGTAAACAGTCCGCCATTTTTGTTCAGTTAATGCGCTGGTGTCGGCCATTATACTTTTTCCTTTAATACTTTCAGCTGTTGTAAGTACTTTTGTAACCTTTGGGAAGGTAACCATTTTAATTTTTCTTCATTAGTATATCCAGATGGAAGTAAAGAAAATCCGCCTTTCTGTCAGCTGTCATTTGGGATTTAAATATTAATTTCTTTCTTAAATCCACCTATTGGAATTAGTCAGATCAAGTCATGACATTTGGTGGTTCAAGATAAATTATGCCAAGCTGTGCATTTATTAATAAATTTATACGTCAACATATTAAATTCTTTAGTTTATCTCTGAAATATTTGAAAATGGAAGTAGATAAATATCCGCGATGCATCATATTAAAATCGATGAGATTGCTTTTCATCGTCTGATGTTGTAATAGGCGTTTGTATAAAGATGACGGTGTCATTCTTCATTACTTTTCAAGATAATCATTTTGTTAATATTCCCATTTATCTTGGAATTCCTCAAGGTCTTGCAGACTGAGTTGATGATGAAATGTATGCAGCATTGATAAATAATATTTTCCAAGGTATCACAATTTTGAGATTATAATCAGTAGAGTATTTAGGCCAGACTTCCATACGTCTGCTTTAGATAAATTATGACTATCTATATAATATTTATAAACAAAATTCCATCAAGTTGATGATGATTTACTTTCAACACAGTTTGATGTTTGCATGCAGTAAAGTTCCCCAGAGTTTACTTATAGCCTATACTAAGTAATCATTGTTTTGACTTTTAACTACAATACGTATATAAAATACATATATATATATGAGCTGCACACTTGCTTCTACCATGTTTTTTAAACTCCGCCTACCAGACAGATCCCAGTAATTTATATCGCGGGCAACATAAAAAAATATAGGAATGGCGCTAATGATTTTTACTGGATTATTGTAAGGTCAGACATTTTCTTCATTTACTATTACTTTCTTCATGCATTGCCATCCATACATATTTTGTTAATGGCATACAATTCTTTCGAGGGTCGTATACGTTGTATATATATATAAGAGCTCCTTTGACCTTAACAGGTGGTTAATTTAGATCGTCCACAATAAAAACCAGAGACACTGATCCTTTTTTTTTGCCAAAACTGATCCTTTAATCCATGACCCAAATGTCAGCGAGCAAGTTGAACGAGTGCAATGTAAACTCCAATCTGTTTCTTTTCAGGTGTTGCACAAAATCGACGAAGTTCTTATGCCGGTTATGTCATTGCCATCGGCCAGTAATCCCCTCTACAACCCAACCGCCTGGGAGTTCCTCTCTCAATTCGAATTTCTCGACATACATCCCTACAGGCTCAGGTGAGGGTGTTGCTATCCGGAAAACGGCCTACCATCGATGCTTAAGTGTTTTTCTTTCTCTTTTTTTGTCAGGTCGTTCCGGCAAAGGGTCGAGCATGAACACAAAAAGGCCATATTCGAAAACGACGGCGGACACACTTTTTTCATTCCCGTCGACGAGGGATTTAAGGTGAGAACATTAATTGATTTGTACACATATAGTTAAATAGGCATAAAAAATAGCTAGATATAATAAAGGGTGTAACAAACGGATGATGAATGTGATAGTAGAAGGTTTTAACGAATTTTATAGAATAGTACATTGCGCAACAGGTTGACAAAACGCCACACATGAAGTTGGGCGTGAGTTAGAGACTTAACACAGCATTTGTACAAAAACGAGTGAGAAACATATGCAAGTCAAACATATTATCGCGTAATCAGTCAGTTAACTATTTACTCTTTAATTAACATTACCATTATTAATTAATGAATTGTTCATTACAATATCGCACTCTTTAGTTAGTGCTTCTTCCATCTTCCTATTTCACTTTTGATCGCCTCGTAACTAGAACTCGAATTGACTTTTCCAATTCCGCGACAACTATTCTAGAAAGATCCAGAATGTGGCATCTACTCTTCTTTGATACTAGCCAGATCTAGGCAACCCATTATAGGCCGCTTCCCGCATGGTGGGTTACGTATTTATTGTACCGACATTCAGTAAGGGGAGACTTCTATTCCTCCTCGGTACTTGGTGGAATACGTAAATAAAAACTAATGTGAGGAAAAAATTGAGAAATTATTAGAAAACAGTTTCCTCATTTGTATGAAAGCGAAAAAAATCTAGAAAAGATACATTACGCTAGGTCGGAGAGCAATCCAAAACAGAAAGAGAGGCATGCTGACAAGTCAGAGTTGTTCTGATCGGTGGAAACATCCGTTCCGCACATTGCTGGTGCAACCCAGTGGTTATTCGAACAATTTTAATGGGACATTGTCGACCACCCGCCATATAGTCCTGACCTACCGTCAAGTGACTTCCCTCTTTTATCTAAATTGAAGAAGTGGCTAGGGCTAGGAGAGTAGCGTTTCCAAACTAACCAAGCGTTTCAAGCATCACAACAACATTTAGACTTATTTGAATTCATTGGCAGCAACACTTTATGATGGGAATATTGAAAACTCAAAACCCACACGGAAGACATTATACTAAACATTGTTAATAGTCACGACAACATTCATTACACACATGCCTTTCGCATCATAACTTACAAAAACCTTCATATACTCTTTTAGTATTAAAAAAAGATATTGAATCAGCCGAGGACAGAACTCGGGTCAGTCGAATGCCAGGTAAGCGCCAGGTAAGCCTTGTAACAATACAGCCGACTGTCAACTGGGTATGTCCAAAATTATTAGAGAGAAAATGTGGTTCTATTTCTATTCTTACGTCAAGAATTTGCGTTAAAGGAAGGAAAAAAACATTGAATTTTCCTGTAAACAGTTTGAAAAAAGTTACACTATCCCAAGCCAACTCTTTCGTAATTGGTAAATTTAATTTTTACGCTGAAGAATCAATAAAAATTAGGTCAAAACGATAAACGAAGAATGATATAATGGACGACTATTACTGATTAGGTTCGAGTACACTTATAATTTCCTCTCGTTTTTTTAACTCGAATGAAATCTATTTTTCACTAAAAACCCGTGTCTGCTTGTTAATAAATATCAAAGAGTTTAATTCTTTTACGTTCTGCCGAAAACCTTTGATCTCCCTTGCTATTTAATACCTAGTTGGATGATTGAAAAGTGGAAAAATGAGGCAAAATATTGTTTTACAGTACGGTTGTATTAAAGAACCTTTACTACGGCTTTGAAGGGCTGTTTTATTATTGTGCTTTCAGAAGTTCAAAAGAGATTTCTAATAAAAAATGTTAAAACCAAACACACGGTTCAAAATACTTTCAATTCAGTTCTTCCTTTGATCAATTTTATTGAATTATTAATGCTGAAGTCTTTTCGTACACAACACTTTAAAGACAAAATACAGGACTCCAGTTTTCTTATTAGAATGCCTGTCACAACTCCTGAACTTTCCTGTTAGCAACTTCTTGAAAGAAATTCATGACAATGTAAACTATCGTTTACTAGCGAAAATTATCCCAGAACATAAGTTTCTTTGAGCACCGTAGCGCTCTCATGAATTGTTTAAACTGACTGTCTACGGAAAGTTGGTATTTAGTATCTCAATGGAGAACTTGCCGAACTTTAACGTTCTACAAAGTTAAGCGTTTGTAATGCCTACGACATGCACCTTCTACGTTTGAATAAATTCAGTCGCTACATACAATTCAACGTAGCGGCCAGAGAATTCAACAAGTATCGAAGTAAAAAAGTTGATAATGAAGATCTGTAGAAATACATCTAGTTCAGTCAAATTAGCTCCAACATTCTTTCTAATCCTCGAAGTAGTTCAAAAAAATCATTTTTTGCGATCTTTATTAGCTCCTCCTTCGATACCGTCTTCATGTCCTCAATCGTAACGTAGTCTTGTATTTTCATGGGCCTCTTCAGTTTCGGGAACAAGAAAAAAACAGCTAGATCTGGGAAATATGGCATTATTACTGTGTTTTTTTGGCCAAAAAATTCGCCCACAAACAACGATGTGTGAGCAGGGTCGTTAACATGGTACAATTTTTGTTTTTACACAAATCCATGTAATATATCTTATTAAGAACTCATGATTCACCCATGCCCATGCAATTGAAAAGAACTGTAAGCAAAACCTTCACAATCGTCCTAACTTGACGCCCTTTTTTCGGTCTTGGCTCGCGTGGCAACTTCCATTGATATGATTAAGCTTTGGTTTCCATGTCATAATCATAAACCCATGATTCGTCACCAGTTATGACCTTTTGGAGCAAATTTGGGTCGTCGCGGACAGAGTCCAACAGCTCCTTAGCAATGTTAATGCGATGCTGTTTTTGGTCGAAATTGGACAATTTTGGTACGAATTTCCGGCGACTCGTCTCATGTCCAAATCATTGGTAAAAATCAAATGGCAGGAGCCAATCGATATGTTTAGGTCCTCAGCAACTTCTCTAACGGTGATTGGACGATTAGCTAATACTATTTTATTCACTTTATCAATGTTTTCGTCTGTTGTTGACGTGCTGGGGTGTCCGGCATGCTCTTCGTCGTTCACATTTTCTCGGTCCTCTGAGAACATTTTGTACCACCGATAAACGTTACTTCGATCCAAGGTTAACAGTGTCCGACCGAAACTGGTTTTTACGACCGAAACCGAAACCGAATTTCGGCAACGGTCTCAGTTTCGGCCGAAACCGAAACTGAAACCGAAACTTCCTTATAAGGATCATGTTTTGAGAGGAAAATAATGAAAACGTTATTATAATTAGTCAGTTTCGGTTTCGGTCGTAGTTTCGGCAAGTTTGCCGCCGAAACCGAAACTCGTTTTTTTTGCCGAAACCGAACTTTCGGTCGCACACTAAAGGTTAATATTAATTAATAATCTTAAGAAAATTTTAGTAACAATTTTGAGGACACCACAAAAGAAATTATAAAAACCATTATTATACACTTTAAAAATGTCACTACTGATGAAGATAAAGGGATGATCAAATTAGAAAATTCACCCTGCACCTCAATATGTATTAAGAACTAAAATCTAAAAATATTTCTCTGAGAAGAGTTACTGAATAAAAGTACACAAAAATACAAGTAAAATTGACGATAGTAATAATACTCTATTGTTTCAGAATTCGAGATTGGAATCAATCGATTCAAAGGTGATTGATGGACACGTCATACCCGGTGAAGTGTTATTCACTTCGGCAACTCCTAGAGAAATCCCTTATAAATCAGCTGCTTTCGAAGATAATCTAAAGGTTGTTCTCACATTTTCGGAAGAAACCAACGGAAAATCCAAGACAGGTACGTTAATATTTATACTCCTATGCAACTGCGAAATTACTTTTTTGAATTTTAAATCTTGAAATTTCATTACCAACAATTAGTATTTTTAACTTTTATATTGAGCACTAACCTACTGTTTACATTATTTTCTTCACTTTCTGTTTTCTTGCTAGTCACATCCTTATTCCAGAATCTTTAGAATTATAATTGCATATTGCAATTTCTTCTGCTATCGTTAATTCACTTCGATGTTTCACAAGAATGTGATTTCAATTCAATAATGTTCTCATATTATTCTATTGTCTATCGTAACATAAGACAGTATTACAGTATAAAGATTCACCGAGCGGTATAACGTAGAGGTTTAAACCATTGATTAGCATTCGGGAAGGCGCCGGATCGATTCTGGTTCCGTCTGGCTTTGGTCCAAGTTTTTCTATGGTTTCCAATATTCCACAGATAATTTTTCGTTTTCCTCTGTCTTCATTTCGTTCGTCTCATCTTTCTCACCCGAATCACCACCCACCCATTCCCACGATCCCTGAAAAGAGACTGAAGAAGGCCCTTCCGCCCTACCTTCTGGCGTAGTCCGGAGAGATCGTCCGCCCATCAGCAATAATAGCTGATGAGAATGAAATACTCAAAAGTTTAAAGTTTTTTCTATAAAGATTTTATACAGTACATTCAATTCCTAGCCACGCCCATTGTTGAGTCGTAATATCTATTTTATTTTTTTTTGTATATTTTTCAGCATTTATCTTTGTAGGTATTTCTAGCGGAATGTTTATTTTATTACTTTTGCAGTATTTTCAATTGTATATATTTTACAGCAGTTATTTGGGAATTGTAGTTTGCCGACCATCGAAGTTCAAAGATTTTATTGACCATTGTGTCTAGTTTCTATTGTAATATTCAGTTTCTTCTATTCGAACACGAAAACCCCAATAAAGTTCAATTGGGTTTTCGCTTGGGTTATGTTTCCCAGAATTCGAACGGCAAAGATGCGTTGCACGTGTGTCGGTACCCCAAGTAGCGGTTAATGCCCTTCTGGTACTCCCACTATCTTTCAACCCCTCTGTATCCCTATCTTCCTTTCATAACAAATCACGATCTTCTACTTTTTCTTCAACCAATCAACCTTTTCAAATTTTAATGTAAGTCCACCCCCAAACTATTTCCTCCACTTTTCTATTTTCAGAAGTCAGTCATTTTCAGAGGCAGTTGCAATTTGGTCTTCAATGTAATCAATCATTCGCTCTTTCCGTTCGTGTTATATTTTCATTCATTCCAATTTTATACAGTCCACTCTCTACATAAGTTAGGTTTTTTGTTATCAATTTGTTTGTGTTTATTAATCCTTAGTTAAGTGTTGTAAATAAATAATTAAATCCGAGTGCAGTTTCATATCAACAAGTTACATTTGGGTAATTCCAAATAGTGGCCCATACATAAAAGTCGTCAACCTACGGCGACAAACACCCATAATTCCCTTTCCTGACTACGCTTCACCACTTTATCCACAAAATATCCACTAACAAATACATTTTGTATCTAAACACTTCGGTAAAACTATTGAACCGTCCCGCATGAAGTTAATTTATGATGACCTGCAAAAACTTTCGGTATTTTATACAGATCAGAGGTGTGAACCTACTGTATGGAATCTTTATACTGTGACAGTACGAATTATAGAACATGCACCTACCGTATATCGTTGAATTCCACTCGCAATTTTTCAAAAATGCTATTATATTTTGTGAAAACGTGGAGAAAAGGAACTGGATAAGTTTTTCGGAAATGTTCTAATCGTTAAAATTACATCAGTAATATGTTCCCATTAGTACCACACATGCTTACGGTAATATGTGTATACATAAAGGGGAAATGGATGAAACTTTGTAGAGATATGACAGTGAGATTCCCCAAAGGTTGTAAAAATGAATCTTTATGTCTGCAATATGCCATAAGTGTTCGCTGAAGTAACATAATTTTATTCCGTGTAGATAAAACAAAGAACTGATGACAAATAAAAGTACCAGGTAGTGTGATAAAACAATTATTTGATAGCGTTCTTCAACTTCTACAATATTAAAAGAATTAACGTTTGAGACGTGGAGGAAATATTGTTGCCATTTTGGTTGAGGGTGAAGAAGTATTATGGTTTTAACTAGAAACCTCCCAAGTAATCCTACTGTTTATATTATGCTAGTCCTGTCTTAGATACGACTCGCAAACTAATAAAATTTTGACAGATCTCGCGTGGCATGAAATTACTGTTGTATATTGTAACGAATTTTCTGGTAGATATATCTGTTTATTTAAATTTTGGCTTGTTGCTGGTCATTCAGGCGCTAATTATCATAAGTAATACATTGAACATGCCACTTGTTAATTTTGGAGAAACGTTTGCACATAAACAAAGGACACTGCAATCTAGAATCTCCACCTTTTTTATCAAACATCAGTCGTTATGACTTATGAGTAATCTTGCACATAAAGAATACACAATGTAGGTACTGTTATTTATCTGTCGAATCAGTTGTCTGTTACATTTATATTCGTCTGACTCTGGTTATTTGATGGAGTATTGTTGATTACTTCCAGAAACTTCGGTAAGTATCTTTTTTCGTGTTACTCTTGAGCACGGTATGTAAATCATTGTATATACGGGCTGTAACAGAATTGTAGAAGAAGAAACAATACAAAAATATAATATGCTGTATAAAAAATAGAAGAAGAAATATTAGGGGAGGATCAATTTTGGTTTAAAAGAAATAGAGGAACGCGGGAGGCCATTCTAGCTTTACGTGTAGCCATAGAGAAAACGATAGAAAAAGCAAGGAGTGTGTATATAGGATTTGCAGATTTAGAAGAAGCTTTTGAGTCTAAATCGACAAGATGTTAAATATACTTAAAAAGTAGGGATAAGTTACAAAGATAGAAGAGTGATACTTAGTTTGTATAAAGAACAATAGGCAGTTATAGAGATAGGGCTACAACGTAGAGAAGTAAATATTAGGAAGGGAGTCAGACAGGCATACACACTGTCACTGCTACTTTTTAATCTACACATCGAAAACGCGATCAAGATCATTAAAGACAGTACAATTTTAGGGATAGATATACAGGAGCAAAATATTAGTATGCATAGAATTGCAGATGATATAGCAGTATTAGCAGCTAGCAAGGAGGAGTTAGAGATAGCCTTAAATAAAATGGAAGCGGTGGTGACAAAACAGTACTGTATGAAAATAAATAAATGTAAAACAAAAATACTGGTATGCAAGGGAAGGACAAGTAGGGACAGAGCGAATATAAAGATAGGAAGTCAGATAAGTCAGAGCCGAAGGAGTAGTAGGGATATAAAGCAAAAGATAGCTCAGGTTCGTGTCGCCTTCAATAAAGAGAAGTCACTTTTATGCTCGCGAACGTTTAATCTATAAAAAAGGTTGTTAAAGGCGTATGTTTGGAGCACGGCGCTGTATGTGTGCGAAACATGGACAGACAATACCGTGGATAGGGAAGATTAGAAATGAAGAGGAAAGAATAGGAGAACAGAAGATTCTATGGAAGTTAATAAGAAATAGGAAATATAGGCTGGTAGGACACCTTCTCAGGCACGAAGATCTAGTGAGAGACACATTAAAGGTAGACCTAGATTAGATTACTGTTCACAAATAGTTAAGGATGTGGGATGTTCCAATCTTTCCAACAATTTATACATGGGTATGTTGATGAGTACGTGTATTCATTTGAGGCTACATTCATTCTATAGTGACGTTTAATTTTCCTGTGATACAATGTAACCCTGGAGAATGACATCAAGAAGACGACGGTCATAGAACAAGGGGAAAGGTGGAGAGGGTAGATAGATGAAAGCAATTGTTCATACACTTTATTGACAACCTGACATTTCATTACCATGAACAGATTGGAGTAGGTAAGATAGATAATGTCCAATTGTGACCTGGAACGTTTCGGATTCCATTCGAATCGTAAATTAATCAAAATTATTGCCCTCTAATCCGGAATAATGGAACTAAAATCGGACATCATAATAATACTGTATATTATGTCAATTGAGTGTTATCTACTGTATCCGATTACAGTATACGTGATGCCAATATGCGTCTCCCTGGGACAATTATAAATACATCATGCAAAAATAGAGACTCTCACAGAGGTTTCTAATAAAATTAATTATTATTAATATTAACACTGTAGGGGTCTGTTCGTTGTTTAACATCTGGCATATTCTGAGGTGCAATCTGTGTCATTTTATTAGATTACATACTGCATAGTCGCAGAATTGCGATCAATATCTACAGAATAAAATAATTCGAAGTGGTCTGTATTCTGTCGAAACTGCCAGATCTTTTTGGATCTCATCAGCGCGTCGCAGGCAGCTCCGACAGAACACAGACCAACTGTTACCTGCTGCCTTAACAGTGCGATTTAGAAAATACTACAAATGACGCGGTAAACGCCATCTGTAGCACGATGCTACATTTTAGGATTACGTATACTCCAACAAGGTCCACTTGTGTGGATATCTACTTGCTAAAAACGAATCCCGACGTAGCCAACCTCAACGTGATAGGCACGTTACCATAATCGAATAAAATAATTCGAAGTGGTCTCTATTCTGTCGAAACTGCTAGACGCGGATCGCTATTTCGATCTTTTTGGATCTCATCAGCGCGTCGCAGGCAGCTGCGACAGAACACAGACCAACTGTTACCTGCTGCCTTAACAGTGCGATTTAGAAAATACTACAAATGACTCGGTAAACGCCATCTGTACAGACCACTTCGAATTATTTTATTCGATTAAGCTAACGTGCCTATNGGATGATGAATGTGATAGTAGAAGGTTTTAACGAATTTTATAGAATAGTACATTGCGCAACAGGTTGACAAAACGCCACACATGAAGTTGGGCGTGAGTTAGAGACTTAACACAGCATTTGTACAAAAACGAGTGAGAAACATATGCAAGTCAAACATATTATCGCGTAATCAGTCAGTTAACTATTTACTCTTTAATTAACATTACCATTATTAATTAATGAATTGTTCATTACAATATCGCACTCTTTAGTTAGTGCTTCTTCCATCTTCCTATTTCACTTTTGATCGCCTCGTAACTAGAACTCGAATTGACTTTTCCAATTCCGCGACAACTATTCTAGAAAGATCCAGAATGTGGCATCTACTCTTCTTTGATACTAGCCAGATCTAGGCAACCCATTATAGGCCGCTTCCCGCATGGTGGGTTACGTATTTATTGTACCGACATTCAGTAAGGGGAGACTTCTATTCCTCCTCGGTACTTGGTGGAATACGTAAATAAAAACTAATGTGAGGAAAAAATTGAGAAATTATTAGAAAACAGTTTCCTCATTTGTATGAAAGCGAAAAAAATCTAGAAAAGATACATTACGCTAGGTCGGAGAGCAATCCAAAACAGAAAGAGAGGCATGCTGACAAGTCAGAGTTGTTCTGATCGGTGGAAACATCCGTTCCGCACATTGCTGGTGCAACCCAGTGGTTATTCGAACAATTTTAATGGGACATTGTCGACCACCCGCCATATAGTCCTGACCTACCGTCAAGTGACTTCCCTCTTTTATCTAAATTGAAGAAGTGGCTAGGGCTAGGAGAGTAGCGTTTCCAAACTAACCAAGCGTTTCAAGCATCACAACAACATTTAGACTTATTTGAATTCATTGGCAGCAACACTTTATGATGGGAATATTGAAAACTCAAAACCCACACGGAAGACATTATACTAAACATTGTTAATAGTCACGACAACATTCATTACACACATGCCTTTCGCATCATAACTTACAAAAACCTTCATATACTCTTTTAGTATTAAAAAAAGATATTGAATCAGCCGAGGACAGAACTCGGGTCAGTCGAATGCCAGGTAAGCGCCAGGTAAGCCTTGTAACAATACAGCCGACTGTCAACTGGGTATGTCCAAAATTATTAGAGAGAAAATGTGGTTCTATTTCTATTCTTACGTCAAGAATTTGCGTTAAA